CAAAAGGAGGCGCGTCCATGACGTCATCCCTGTGCGTCTCTCTGGACCGACATGTCACAAGGCAAAAACACATCACACAGACATTCATAATCAGATGCAGGATTAATACCGACATTCATAACACATGTACAGGCGCACAACGCATTTACATTACTGACAATGATACACACGTGTAGGGCACAGTACAGGTTATCAGAATAATGACTTCACGAGTGATGGTTTAGAATGTCCGTCTCGGGTGTGATAGTGTTCAGTGTCCACTGGGGGGCGTCAGAACGCCGTTGGTGGCTCGCCAGCCAGGGAGAGTGTGCTTGGAGTGAACGCAGGACTTTGATCTCTGAGCTCGTCGGGGAAAGGGGCAGAGATGTTTACGCTCCAGAGTCGATTCATTGCTCCAAAACCGACAGTCGTTATCTCTATGACCGATGAGAGCTCTCTGTTCGACCTCTTTATGGCTTAGATGTCTGCTCTGGGAGGGACATTCCCAAAGTCTTATCGGAGCTGGTTAGTGTCCTGGCGGGGTCAGTTTCGGTCCATGCTTCGTGCCTTGTGCTCTCTTTTGTCACCTTACAATAGCACGGACGTTTTTCAATCATTGTCGGGAGTAAGTCACTCGGGTATACACCCAAAAATGACTCTCCTAAGATCGGCTTCAGAATAGATTCAATTTGAGAATTATTCATTTTTTTATAGTCGATCAAAACCTGACGCTTAGAGTTTATTTCTATAACTGTGTCATAACAGGCATAGACAATCATTGTCATAGTTCTCGGAAGAGGAGCTCTGAATCTTAAATCCAAGCGACATGTTCCGTGCGTTGAGGGGGATAGAGCCTCACTGTCGAGCTCATCATCTCTTGAGAGATTAAACAAAAATAGAGTGTACCCGTTTTCAAAGTTTTCACGGTCGATGCAGAGTGGCGAGTCTCTAATATGTCTGTTTGTCCCCAAATAAAGATTGTAAAATTCACGGACGCTCTGATGAGTATTAAAGCTTGGCTGATATGGTTTCGATGGGATGAATCTAGAATTCACACTTAGAGAGAGATATTCAAGATCTGCGTGTTTAAAATTGAATGGATTCAGTTCTCTTGCTCCGACAAATGCTCTGTGATCTACTAGTCCCACTACAATATATCTTGGAAGCTTCTGGTGAAGTCCAAACACGACTGTGACCAGGACACTCTCAGATGGCGTCAGTCGTTGTAGGATAAATGTAGTGCTCGGTGCATGTATTTGATTTTCCCTAAATGCATATCCAAATAGAGAACAGAACTGACTGTCCTCGCATTGTTTGCATATTTTCATATAAAAACACTTTGCTGAAGATTTTTAGGTCATATTTAAAGACGTTGCTCACACGCCACTTTGTCCTGTAGGTTTAACCCCAAGGCTGAATATCAGGAGTGTTTGCTGAATGCTAGCTATACTATGCTAAGCTAGCTGGAGCCAATTTCCTTATAAGGGCACTTGCTCTGGTGTTAAAGTGGTTCTCACCCCCGCTCCTCGGAGCTTACGTTACTCACATTTCCTGTTCAAATCTTCCTCTAAATGGGCGTAGCCTGGAGGACTAAAGGGGGCGTGAACGAGACTGGGCCGTTTACATTGCTCTGGGCGGGGGGCTGCTGACGTCAGGTCCAACTTGCAGACGTCAGGTCCAACTTCTGTGCCAGTGTTGGCGCCAGATTCAAAATTCAAATGTAGTAATACAGGTCGCCAGCAGATGGCGCCTCACAGACGGTTTTAGGCAGAAAGTCTAACTTTCAACTAATTTGCACCAAAGTGACAAGATTATGACCAGGATATGTAGACAACACTATTGGACACTCATTTATACCGTTTATCAGCAAAAAAAAGTGGATTTGAGGGTGAGTTGTCCTTTAAAGGTGTACAAGGAGGATAATTCCAAATTTTAGGAAAGAGCACGAGCCCAGTTCTCCTCGTGCACGCTCTGTTTACAAGTCGTTGTTGCCATCGCTCACTTTCCAAAAAGAACTGCACTTTTACAGCTACGTCAGACTCGAAAAAAACCAGAAAGTGAAAATCCTTTTACTAGAAGCAAACATTTAAAAAAGAATATGTGTGAAGCCAATCGTTTACACCTGAATGCTGCGTCTTAACTTTTGTTTCTCTGATCTAAGAATAAATTGTATTGTATTAATGCGTGCATGTGCAGAAAGTGAAAACTTGATCCATGCTAACGTGGATGAGTTAGCCAGAATGAGTGACAGTAATCAGTGGTTCTCAAACATTTTACACCAAGCTCCACCTGAGAAAATACTTGCCTTTCCAAGTACCACCACAAATGACCAACACAGCACAGTAGCGTAGTGAGCCTAAGTATTCATCAAAAACAAGGCGGAGGTTTCATTCCTAAAGAAGTATATTTAATGTTGTCAGCCATTCTAACATTTTACACAGTTTCAACAGTAAGACTTAAATATAGGAAAAAAACTAAAAACTGTACTCAAATAATGATTCAATTAAAATGTTCCATTCATTATGAACTGCAAAGACTCACTGTGAGTGATATTCTGGATTCACAGAAGGTTTGGACACTGCACTTTAGTTTCTAAGGCTTGGTCTGCTGCCCTCGTACATCTGTCATTTACTCAGAGACATGTTCATATGGTTTGGATCATTTACTCACAGAGACATGTTCATATGGTTTGAGTAAGTAAGTAAGTAAGCTTTATTTATATACCGCCTTTCACAGACCAGAGTCACAAAGCGGTTTACAATTGTTATTTTTGGGCACTTGTCCTCTCACTCCACACAGAGATGGGAGCGGGGTCGCCGAACAGGAGGCGCATGCCAGACCTATTGGACATATTTTTAGTGGTAGGGGAAACCGGAGTACCCGGAGGAAACCTACGCAGACACGGGGAGAACATGCAAACTCCACTCAGAAAGGCCCTTGTCCGGCCGGGATTCGAACCAAGGACCTTCTTGCTGAGAGGCGAGAGTGCTATCCACTCAGCCACCGTGCCGGCCAGTTTGGATCATTTACACACAGAGACATGTTCATATGGTTTGGATCATTTACTCAGAGACATGTTCATATGGTTTGGATCATTTACTCACAGAGACATGTTCATATGGTTTGGATCATTTACTTACAGAGACATGTTCATATGGTTTGGATCATTTACTCACAGAGACATGTTCATATGGTTTGGATCATTTACTCAGAGACATGTTCATATGGTTTGGATCATTTACTTACAGAGACATGTTCATATGGTTTGGATTAGGGATGTAAAAAACTATGAATTTTCATGACCGACCACCGAGCCTCATTAACCGGTTGAAACCGGTTAACCGCGTAGTTTAAAATAGTCCACGTTCTTTGAAATAACAGCCATTTCGAGCCGCGTACTTTTCATAAGTGCAGCTCTGCGTTCTACTGGATCAGAGCCGAGACAGCGGCGCCCAAACCCGCAACAGCTCCGGCACCTTTGCGCACAGAGAACTGCTTTTTTAATCTTCCCATTCTGCTGTGCTGCGGGTTAATACCAAAACTTTCTAGCAGCAAACGACGGCTCGTTCACATGGTCAGAGCAGCGAGTGACGCGTCTCACAGGTCTTCACAAAAGTTTAAATACAAGTGATGTGTGTGGAGCTGATCCCGAGGACCATAAACACAAACATGGTCCATGTGGTTTGACTGGAGCCGCGTATTTGCGCGAATCCTTTGGGCTCCGTGACACAGAGGAGCGCGACAGACCGGTATGTGTGTGTGTATGTGTGTGTGTATGTATATGTGTGTGTGTAAATGTAAGCTCCAATGTAGTTCTGACCCGCGCCAGTGTGCAACTTTGGCGGTAACAGAGGAGAGATGATGCGTGTGGATGTTACGTATGGAGAGGGGGAAAGAGAGTGTGAGTGTGTGTGTGTGTGTGCGCGCGCGTGCGTGTGTGCATATGTGGCTCGTGCGGCGTGAGAGTCGTCCCGGAGTTTATAATACATGGGCGCACACAGCTAGAGACAGACCCGCTCGTCACACCGTGCAAATAGGGCTTGAAAAAGCGTTATTAAGAGACCTCCCCTCTCCCCGTTTTCTCTTTTTTAACCGACAGCTTTGACCGGTTAACGCTGTGACGGTCAACCACCGGTTAACCGGTCGCCGATTTACATCCCTAGTTTGGATCATTTACTCACAGAGACATGTTCATATGGTTTGGATCATTTACTCACACAAAGAGATATTGGTTCGTTTGGTTTGGATCAAATGATATTTTGTTGCTCTCTGCTCCTTCTTCATGGAACGTGTTGCAAAAAGACTGGAAATTATCTGAATCTATTTCATTGAATGCTTTTAGATCCAGATTGAGACTGAGACGACCTCATTGTAATGTAACAGTTTTTATAATCCGTAATTTTATGAAATTGTGTGTGACTGTTTTGTAATCTGTATCTAACTGTTTAATAATCTGTAATTGTATGTAATTTTTTGTCCAGGACTCCCTTGAAAAAGATGTTCTAATTCTCAATGGAACTTTCCTGTTTAAGTTTTTATTTTTTATTTCAGTGATTCTTTGGCGTACCACTAGAGGGAGCCCCAAAGTGTGCACCTCAAAGTACCACACTTTGAGAACCACTGGTCTTGATGATCCACCCAGAAAAACAACAACCTTCACCATAACTTTCACTTTGTGCCGTGACAGAACGGATGTGTTTCTTTGATGGTTGCTACGGAAACCTATATATTTTACCATTAATAACAGAAAAGACAAAACAGTCTGAAACGGTTTGAAAACAGGGCATTTAGACAGATGGGCAGGGGACATGCTGGATGGAGCTGAAACAAATCCAGGTCAGTAGCAAAGTAGGAACAACAATCAAGTAAATAAAAGTCCTTTATGGACAAGCAACCTGCCTACGAGTTCCAGATGGTTTTCTCTAGTTTAGGGCAAACAGGAAGTAGAGGCCTAAAGATGAAGCTGTATCATAAACGTAACTCAATCTATCACATGTCAACAAGTTCATATTTTTATAAACTTATGTAGAGTCTTTCTTTTCTGGTGCCTTGCTCCATCGCAGTTTGAAGTCAGTCCCAGGGATTTTCTCCTGGAGTCTTTCTTGGAGCTGTTTCAGAAAGAATCAGAGTGAGTGAGGTTGTACAGACTGAACATAAGACATGGACGCACCAGTTTGAGCAGCTGCTCAGAGACGGCTGCATCACTCAGGTCCACGTCAGTCTGGATTCTCATCTGTGTCTGCAACACGGAGCGTCTCTGTTTCACTGCAAACATGAGCTCTGAGTCAGGACAATACTCTTCTGCCGACACATCGACACTCATGTAAACATTGTGCAATAACGTGGTTTCATTCATTCAATCAGAAGGGAAAGCCGATGTAAGAAATAATTTATTATGCGTTAAACAGACACAGACACAAAGATGCTTCATGACGATCAGGAGGAATAGAACATAATTCCATCCAACAATTGAGAGAGATGGTTGATGGAAACCCAACAGACCTCAAACAGCAGAACTTTGGTCTGTTGAAACTTACAACAGTGCTTCCCGCCCCGCGCGCTGAGGTCCGAGGCCAGCTCCAGCTCGTGGTACCGAAGACGAGACTTAAAACCCGGGGACAGGGCCTTCTCTGTGGCTGGACCAAAGCTGTGGAACACTCTGCTGCCCCCCCCCCCATGTCCAAACTGCTCCTTCTGGGGAGTGTTTTAAAGTAGCAGTATGTGATATTTACATGTCAAGTCATCATTAAGCTTAAGACCAGAAGGTCGTGGCTTAAGACCAGAAGGTCGTGGGTTCAATTCCCACCTCTGCACCTTCTCCATCAACTCCCACTGATGACTGCTGTCGTTGTGTCCTTGGGCAAGACACTTAACCCCACTTTGCCCAAAGCCCCCATTGAAAGATCAAGGCTATGCTCACACTCAGAGAGCAGCCGTCCTCCTGTGGACTCACCACCTGCAGAGGGTCAGTGAGGGGCTGGTGCTATGAGACTTGGGTGGCATCTCTGACTGCCACCCCCCTGACCCAGAAATGGATTAAAGGGTAGAAAATGGATGGATGGATGGAAGTCATCATTAAATATTTCAAAAGGCGTTATTAAATCATGATCTTTTCGAATACACCTTTAACTGATAACAGTAGTTCAGAGATATTTGATTATCAAAATTAGTTTTACGACCCGTAAAAGTTGTTATTGTTTTGATGTTGATGTCCTACCCTCCGCCGTTTCGCCAATCAGGAAGTGTCATGTAAGTCCGTGATCGGGTTGCCAGAACTCCGCGCGGCTAATCTCAGTGGTAAAATAACATGTGGCGCAGAACTAAAAAAGGTCTTGTTATGACTCTCAAATAATTAATGACAAAACAAAGACTAAAACGAGGAGTTATATCGGTACGCCTTCGAACAATTGTGACGGCGGATACGTTTTCGTGTGATGCAAAATTTGCTTCTTTGAGTCCGTTCTTCAGAGGAGACGTCACCGTGTTAATCGGTGGTCTAGTGGTTTAACCCCCGCGCTCTCAATACAGTGACCCGGGTTCGATTCCGGACGGAGTCTTTTGGTATTTAATTGAATGTTATCACATTCTATGACAGATTGCTCTAAAAACGGTAAAAGACAAAGGTCAAGACGTTTTTTTGCAGATTTTGGCTTAATTGTAAAAATAATCATTTAAGACCACATGTACCCAATTAAAATAATGTTAGTCTCTTTTTGATATGGGACTTATTCTAAAAAATAGGGAATACATAAAATGTAAGGGTGATGTCCTCTGGAGCAAACCCTGATGTTGATACTCTGAAGAAATACGTTCCAACATCCATTCTTCCCACTCCTATTTTGGACATCAATTACTTATTTATTTTGGATAATCTATAATTACGGCTTTTTAGGTTCTTCTAATAAGACAATTAAAGCAAAAAAAGCTAGTACTGGTCCGTGTTCCCCGCACAGAAGAACATAAATACAAAAGATGGATACGAGAGGCGATCGAAATCAGGAAGCGGGGAACACGGACCATCAACAGAGACGAGGGGGCCTTCACCTTGGCTCACACTTGGGATTCACTTCTCCAGAGACCACAGCGCGGCGGGGGACGTGGTCAGTCTGATGGATCTGTCAGACTGACTGCTTCCGGCAACAACAGCTGATAAGAGACGCGTCACACCATCACGTGTCACCTCTGATGAAGGCGGAAGTGTACCGCCGAAACATGTCAGGTATTTAAGCAGTACTAGCTTTTTTTGCTTTAATTGTCTTATTAGAAGAACCTAAAAAGCCGTAAACATAAGAAGACAGAATGAATTTTCCACATTTAATCTATAATTACATTGCTTTTATTTTGTTTTGTGTTTTTTATCTCAAATGTCCAAATAATAAAATATATGTGAATGGAGACAGACAAACAACTGATAAAATAATTCCCTGTGTTTGCTGCTGGATTTGGTGAGTATCTGGCAACCTGAGTCAGGGAGAGTGGGAGAGGACAATATTGACTGTGACTGCAGTACCACTTTTGGCCAGATTTTGACATATTGTTCCTTTAAGTCTCGTCTTAAGACCCATTTTTATGCTCTGGCTTCTAACACTGCGTGAGTTGTATGGTCCTTTTATTTTCATTTTATTTTACTTTATTCCGTCCTTTTTCTTGTTATTTTTATATTTATACGCATTTGCACACACGGTTTTTCATATTAGATTTTTTATTATTTTACTGTTTTACTATGGATTTGTTTTATTTAGCATTTTATTGTGCAGCACTTTGGAAACTGTTTATGAAATGTGCTATATAAATATGGATTGGATTGAACAGTGAGACTAGAGCTTTTCTACAACAATAAAACTAAATATTAAGATTTAAAAACGCCTATGGGGAAATAGTCTGTGAATTTTCACTTCTGAACCTGAGCGGGCTGTGATGTGAGATATTTCATATGTTTGGGGCACAAACGTGTAGATTTCACCGATGGATTCCAAAAGACAATAAGTTCTGGAAGAAAAGGAAGGCTATAATTCCCAGCTCTGTAAGATTGACATCAATTATTGGCCAGACTCTTGTGTAATGCAGCCCTCTCACCCTCGACCAATCACACAGCGCTGCCAACCTACGCTAGTTAAAACAGCTGTTTAAAAGCGGAAACTTCCAACATCAAACCTTTTTCAAGCCTCGTAAGAAGTTATTCTGGAGTCACTTTCATCTGCTCACATTTCATAACCACCTCCTCCTCGACCTTCTTCCCACTTTCTCATCTAAACTTTACCCTTATACCACCACCAGTATGGACCTCATGAAACCACCAGTACCTGGACCTCATGCCACCACCAGTACCTGGACCCCATGCCACCACCAGTATGGACCTCATGCCACCACCAGTACCTGGACCTCATGCCACCACCAGTACCTGGACCTCATGCCACCACCAGTACCTGGACCTCATGCCACCACCAGTACCTGGACCTCATGCCACCACCAGTATGGACCTCATGCCACCACCAGTACCTGGACCTCATTCCACCACCAGTCTGGACCTCATGCCACCACCAGTATGGACCTCATGCCACCACCAGTATGGACCTCATGCCACCACCAGTACAAGGTCCCGGGAAATTATAAGCGGCACACATGGAATGATAGTCACAGACGAAGTGGCCTAGGGCTAAACAAACTATTGAATAAAAAATGTAATGAAATGTTGTGTCTGTGTAGTCTCTTCAGATTGAATTGTTAAAAGCTGTGAGCCTGGAGGGTCATGTGAGCCTGGGCCTTAACCTCACCTCCTAATGCTTTTGAGATGTGGCAACAAAACTATTGAGTGTTTGTCAAGTCTTTGAGAAACTATACCTTCATGACAGACAAAGCTTTGTGGTTCAGAGCAGGTGTCGTCCTCCATTAGGCCGTCTTCATTCATGAGGACACAGTGCTCATTGTTATCCATGTTGTCGGGTGATCCAAGTTTCCAATTCCTGAAGCTGCTGTTGCTGAGGTCCGACCAGAGCCATATGTTTCGGTACAGACCAATCCAGGCATAGGCCACTCCAGCTGAAGCCGTCATCGCAGCCTGGTTCTCCTCTGCACTCTCGATCTGAGCCAGGTTCTGATAATTCTGTCTGCACATGCTCTGGCAGCCGAGCCATGTCCTACTATAGTCACTGACCAGAATGAACTGCTTGACACCTTTCTGAACTAGACACAGAAACACAACACAATAGAAGCTTAGTATGAAGTGTTGACAAACCAGTTCACAGTTGACCTATTTAGATCCTCTGTTTTAGCTGTAAGACTGTGGTATTGAAAGCATATCACATGAAACACTCACCTTCGAAACAAAGACAACTTGCATTGTCAGTGCAGAGAAAGTCGACCCAATGGCTACTTCGAATAACAACACATGCTTCTTTACCAAGCCATTTATCTGGATCTAGTGTGTTCCAGTTCTGGAAGCCTCCAGGGCTGGTGGCCCCAGTGACAGACCATCTCCAGGAGTTTGAGGCGTTGGTCATGACTTTAAACCAAGCAGCAGGGTCATCATGAAGACCGATCCAAGCCACCTGACCAGCCGGGATGTGGACTCTGCTCAGGTCCTCTTCTCTCTGTATTTTGGCCAGGTCAGTGAAGTGCTCTCTGCAGTACTGCTGAGCCTCACTCCAGCTTTTGGACTGCTCGATGAAATGGTACTCGTCAATCAGTTCATGAGCAAATGTTAAGAAGATTATTCCATGACCTAGAGATGAAGATAGATAGATACTTTATTGATCCGCGTGGGAGAAATTCAGGTTTCCAGCAGCAGAACATTCATCCAAGTCTTTTGTACAGTCTGACAGTCGAAAGGAACAAAGGATTTATTGAAACGTTCATGTTGAAGACATGTCATTGAACTTAGAAAGCAGATTGTAAATTCGAATTATTTTTGACTAGCCCTAAATCACAACAGCAGTCGTTTCCGAGGACTTTACAAAATATTTTATTCCTCACCAAGAGACAGTTTAAACACAGGAAATGTAATAGTAGCAAACACATAGGAGCCATTGGTCGATAGGGAGCAGAATGACCAATGTCCATCAATGTCCGTAGATGTCCTGAATCATCTCTGTCCTTCGACCGCCCTACATTGGCAAAGAACAACAGTGGGAAAAAGGTGCTAAACCTCGGGGAGGACAGGTTATAGATACAGGACTCAAGCTATTTTACGTGGATTGAGGTCAGCCAATGCTAGACTGAAGCCTCTTGCACAAGTCCGAGCCGTATAAACCAGATCTGAGGGTCAGGGTCATGATCGTCATGCCATTTAACAGATAATGGATCAGGGAGTGAAAAGCAATAAACAGACTACAGCTCAGGTCATAATGATGACATAAAGTAGCAAAGAAGACGGTGCTTAAGTTGCCATTCTTTTCCCAGCCAAGTGTCTCCATACAGCTTGACAGATAATCTGTGTTCTACCTAACTATGCTGAATGAAAGAGGAACGTCTTAAGCCGATCCTTGAACGTAGACGCTGTGTCAGCCTCCTTGACGTGGATGGGGAGCTGACCTCATAGTATCGAGCTTGGTAGCTCAACGCTCACACATGATCAGCCTCGCAGCGCCGTGGGTCCAGACGTGTGCAAGTAAGTAAGTAAGTAAGTAAGTGAGTGGACACTGTAGAACCTGTTCTGGAGCTGGACTTTGGACGGACGTCTTCTCTTGCCTTTTGTCGTGTTTTCATCCAAACCAGAGGTCATCAACCTTTTTAAAGATCTTATCATCTTAAGATTACCAAATTATGAACTTTTCCCCTTGAAAGGTTTGGTAGCCCGGCTTTAAACGCCTCCTTGGTTCAGTCTTGCAGCTCAATCCTAACTCAGAACTGCAAAAGGTTTCTAGCTGAAACAAACAGCTTGAGCTGCATAAAGCTTTCTTATTAAACATGTAGGAAGTACAACATAAGCTTGAAACGAAGCATTAAATGCACATTCTTTGTTCAAACTCTTTGATTTTCTGATCTGTTATTGACGAATCAACAACTGCTGTTGTGATTTTGGGCTACACAAAATTTAAATTAATTGAATTGAAACACCATGTACGGTGCGGGTGGAGAGCTGCTGACCTCGACTGGGGATATTGTCGGGCGGTGGAAGGAATACTTTGAGGTTCTCCTCAATCCCCCCGTCACGTCCTCTGTTTCAGAGGCAGAGGCTGAGGATGTTGGGGCGGATACATCCATCTCCCTGGCTGAGGTCACCAAGGTGGTTGGTAGCCTCCATGGTGGCAAGGCTCCGGGTGTGGATGAGATCCGACCTGATTATCTAAAGTCTCTGGATGTTGTAGGACTGTCTTGGCTGACACGTCTCTGCAACATCGCGTGGCGATCGGGGGCAGTGCCAATGGAGTGGCAGACCGGGGTGGTGGTCCCTCTCTACAAGAAGGGGGACCGGTGGGTGTGTTCCAATTATCGCGGGATCACACTCCTCAGCCTCCCCGGTAAGGTCTACTCCAAGGTACTGGAGAGGAGGCTACGGCCGATGGTCGAATCTCGGATCCAGGAGGGGCAGTGTGGTTTTCGTCCCGGACGCGGAACACTGGACCAGCTCTATACTCTCGAACGGATACTCGAGGGTTCATGGGAGTTCGCCCAACCTGTCCACATGTGCTTTGTGGATTTGGAGAAGGCGTTCGACTGTGTTCCCCGGGGTGTCCTTTGGGGGGTTCTCCGGGAGTACGGGGTCGGAGGTCCTCTGCTGAGGGCCATCCGATCACTGTATGACCGGAGCCAGAGCTGTGTTCGCATTGCCGGCAGTAAGTCAGACCTGTTCCCGGTGAATGTTGGCCTCCGACAGGGCTGCCCTTTGTCACCGGTTCTGTTCACTGTATTTATGGACAGAATATCTAGGCGCAGCCAGGGGTCGGAGGGGGTCCGGTTCGGAGACCACAGGATTTCATCTCTGCTGTTTGCGGACGATGTTGTCCTGTTGGCTCCAACGAACCAGGACCTGCAGCATGCACTGGGGCGGTTTGCAGCCGAGTGTGAAGCGGCTGGGATGAGAATCAGCACCTCCAAATCCGAGGCCATGGTGCTCGACCGGAAAAAGGTGCCTTGCCCTCTGCAGGTGGGTGGAGAGGTCCTTCCTCAAGTGGAGGAGTTCAAGTATCTCGGGGTCTTGTTCACGAGTGAGGGAAGAATGGAGCGTGAGATTGACAGGCGGATCGGTGCAGCGTGCGCAGTGATGCGGTCGCTGTATCGGACCGTTGTGGTAAAGAGGGAGCTGAGCCGAAAGGCAAAGCTCTCGATTTACCGGTCAATCTTCGTTCCCTCCCTCACCTATGGTCATGAGCTTTGGGTAATGACCGAAAGAACAAGATCGCGGATACAAGCGATCGAAATGAGCTTCCTCCGCAGAGTGGCTGGGCGCTCCCTTAGAGTTAGGGTGAGGAGCTCAGTCACACGGGAGGAGCTCGGAGTAGAGCCGCTGCTTCTCCACGTCGAGAGGAACCAGTTGAGGTGGCTCGGGCATCTGTTCCGGATGCCTCCTGGACGCCTCCCTGGGGAGGTGTTCCGGGCACGTCCCACCGGGAGGAGGCCCCGCGGAAGACCTAGGACACGCTGGAGGGACTATGTCTCTCAGCTGGCCTGGGAACGCCTTGGGGTCCCCCCGGACGAGCTGGAGGAAGTGTGTGTGGATAGGGAAGTCTGGGCGTCTCTGCTTAGACTGCTGCCCCCGCGACCCGGCAACGGATAAAGCGGAAGAAAATGGATGGATGGATGAAACACATTTTATTAACAAAGAAAAATAGAATCAAAGATTATCAAGTGAATACAAACAATGTAATTTATTCAAACTGTCTCTTCACAGTGAAACAGACAGATGCTGTGTCTGGATCTGATCAAATGTAATGATTAGTGCTGTCAATCAAACACGTTAGTAACGGCGTAAACACAAAGTCATTGACGGAGTCCATTTTTTAACTACGCAGCAAAAATATTGTATGTCATAGTTTGGGCCGTTTAGAATCTCCTTTGAAGAGGAAGAGATCTTTCTGCTCCCAAAGAGCTCAACCTCCCATCCCCTCTGTTGGGGCGTGAAGCAGGCGTGAAAGAACGAAAGCATGTCCACATCGTGTGATCGTAAAATAGACTGTAAAAAAACATCTAACTGACTGAAAACATAAACAAAAGAGTGGCCATTATTTGACAATTCAATCATTTCTACTTTGTTCAATATTTCTGTAAAAAGCAGTAACAGAAGCAGAGTCTGTAATAGACAATCCAAATGGAGCGGATCGGTTTCATTTGAGCTTTTTGCTTCTTCCAATCTCTTTCCAATCCAAATGAAGGCACATTTAGGCCTTTAGAATTGTTTTGTTAGAATGTTTTTAATTGCAATATTACAATGACATTAAAGTGATCAATCATGAAATATTTGAAGTGTTTGACAGCACTAGTAATAATATTTTTTTCTTACCGTAAAATATACAGACCAACAGAGCTTTGTAGTCCATGTCTGATGACCGCACCCTGCAGAGACCGAAAACCACAGACTCTGATGACCGCACCCTGCAGAGACCGAAAACCACAGACTCTGATGACCGCACCCTGCAGAGACCGAAAACCACAGACTCTGATGACCGCACCCTGCAGAGACCGAAAACCACAGACTCTGATGACCGCACCCTGCAGAGACCGAAAACCACAGACTCTGATGATCGCACCCTGCAGAGACAGAAAACCACAGACTCTGATGACCGCACCCTGCAGAGACCGAAAACCACAGACTCTGATGACCGCACCCTGCAGAGACCGAAAACCACAGACTCTGATGACCGCACCCTGCAGAGACCGAAAACCACAGACTCTGATGACCTCACCCTGCAGAGACCGAAAACCACAGACTCTGATGACCTCACCCTGCAGAGACCGAAAACCACAGACTCTGATGATCGCACCCTGCAGAGACCGAAAACCACAGACTCTGATGACCTCACCCTGCAGAGACCGAAAACCACAGACTCTGATGACCGCACCCTGCAGAGACCGAAAACCACAGACTCTGATGACCGCACCCTGCAGATACCGAAAACCACAGACTCTGATGACCGCACCCTGCATAGACAGAAAACCACAGACTCTGATGACCTCACCCTGCAGAGACCGAAAACCACAGACTCTGATGACCGCACCCTGCAGAGACCGAAAACCACAGACTCTGATGACCGCACCCTGCAGAGACCGAAAACCACAGACTCTGATGATCGCACCCTGCAGAGACCGAAAACCACAGATGTGTGGAAGACTGGGTTAAAAGTTAAAAGATATAGAAATCATGTACGTATCTCTGAAAGCCTCCTGGATTTATAGAAACTCTAATCCCAACGCTAACCTAAGCCTACTGCATTTTATATAGAGCACATTTCAGAGTAACTTATTATTAAATTGAAGCCATGCAACAAAGATGAGACACACTGTTTGGTGACTGTGTGTCTGAAATATACAATAATAAAGAGTGTTTCTTACCTCACGGCTGTCGCTCTCAGAGTCTGGTGTCGAGAGATCAGTGTAAAGCATCTTCTTGATTCACAGCCTTTCATTTACATATTCAGTCTGTATTCGTACTGCTTATTTGTTTGACATGTCTTTTCATTTGCAAGGCTTAAAGTCAGGATGTTGGTCTTTGGCACGTTCCTTCCGCTGCTCAGAGCAGGGCAGAGATCTCAGCCTGTAACTGTCAAACAGCCCTGTCATAATAAAATAAACATAACATAACTCTAAAATAGGCAGGTCTGGCTCCCAGAGAGTTTGCAGATGTCCAATTTCCAGGGGGCAATTTCAGAACATTTTAGTAATTTTTTTGCCAAAGCGGTCGCTAAAAAAAGTTAAAAGCCAGAGAGTAGAAATGTGTTTTTAGACGAGATTTAAAACATTCCAAAAAGGAAGTGTCTCAACGTTGGGGGTGGGGGGTCAGAGGGGGGGACGGTGGAACAGCGCTGGTCCAGCCACAGAGAAGGCCCTGTCCTCAGGTTTTAAGTCTGGTCTAAGGCACCGCGAGCTGGAGCTGGGCCTCGGACCTCAGAGCCCGGGCGGATGGTACATTTGGATGAGGTCCGAGATGTAAGGAGGGGCCAGTCCTTTCAAAGCTTTAAAAACAAACAATAACTTCTTCAAATCATTTCTGAGATAAAGAGGAAACCAATGCAAAGAAGCTGAAATCGACCTCACGAAATGTGCTTTTTTGGTTCCTGTTAAAAGCCGCAGAGTTCTGGACTATCTGTGAGTGTGAAAGTGCCTTCTGTGAAATCCCGGGATAAAGTGCATTTACAGTTGTTCAGACGTGAAGAAATAAAAGTTTATACGACTTATTCAAATTGTTTAAAAGATAAAAAAGGTTTAACCTTAGATAAAAGACGAAGGTGATGAAATCCCAAATACTTATGTTTGTGCTTGTGTAATGTGACCACATTTGTACAAAGCCCTGCAAGGGCCAGGGGTAAAAAAAAAAATAAACTGTGCGCACAGATTATTAAACTGTGCGCACAGATTGTTAAACTGTGCGCCCAGATTACTAAACTGTGCGCACAGATTGTTAAACTGTGCGCACAGATTACTAAACTGTGCGCACAGATTGTTGAACCGTGCCCACAAATGCGTCAGATGAGATGTCACTTCCGGCGCCGCGTCATACCCGGTCTACTGCTGTTACAGTCTATGCAACTACCACGGAAAATGGCAGATTTCACTCGTTGTTTAATCGAGATCCCAAAAGTCTCGGTTAATGACGTCCGACGACTGGTCAGGAGTGTGTCGATAACTCCACAGAGCCTCATGGAGAAGGGGTTTAAGTTGTATGTTTGTTCGTACATCATACACTTTGAAGGTAAGTTCACAGGCTCTAACTCTTGCTAACATGCTAACTAATGTGACTGCCTTTTAATACCCGCAATGACCCATTCGTAGCGAGCTAATGTTATGTACATGTGTTACGATTAAAGTTGTTTTTCTAATTACCAGTGTCAGGTAAAAATTCTCTGACAGGCGAGGTGACAGTTAGAGCCTGGTGCTACCGCTCTATGAAGAAGTCCGAGGCTCCCCACCAGCTGAGAGCAGGACTTAGTCACGGCCATCGTTCTGGCATCTCTGTTCTTCAGTCCCGTTGGACTTTGTCTTTGTCCCGTTGGACTGTTGTTCTGTTGTCCTGTTGGACTTAATGTAGTTCTATGTTCTGTAGAACATGTTCAAATATGCTTTTTAATATAGGGGAAGCCATGCTGAAATGTTGGTAGGCAGCTAAGTAGGACGAGAATTTGTCTGGCAGCTCTGATTTTGATTACTCATGAAAGGTTATTAAACAAACAGAAATAATTTCTAAACCTTCCAATTGTACATATACTTTCACCCTACTTGGCTGCCTTTTACATTGCATTAAAAAAAGCATGACACTGTAAGACAATTCCTCTAAAACCCTCTGTTATTGTTGCAGATTACACTCCGTGAATCAACCCCAGTTGTGCTTGTTGGGAGTTCCTGCTCTTGTGTGGCTGGCCAGGCACTGTGCAACCACATAGTTGCTCTGCTGTACCAGACTGCACATTATTGTGAGAGTGGGATGTCTGTGGTGCCACCTGTTCTTTCCTGCACTGAAACCGAGCAAAAGTGGCATAAACCGCGAACCATGGTTGGTAATAATTTATGTGGTATAGCTCATGTAAATGTCTTCATTGTGAGATCAATAAAGTGTCCTATCTTAAACCAACTTTACAGGGTGTGAAGCCGGTGTGAAGCCGGGGGGAGTGGACACAGTGGTGGTTATGAAGGCCACACCAGGAACTTCTGCAACAAGTGGAAAAAGGTATTTTTAGGCCGAGCCAATACGAAGTATTGGGGAGGCCTATTGTTATTCACCGGTTTCATATTATTCTTTTTTTCCCGCATCTTCAATTCGATTTTTGACCCTGAAGACATGCACGAAAGTCTGCACATGGGGGGTCTAAAACGACCGGTCCGGCGAAAAATTTAATAAAATGAACGTTTCCAGATTGTCCGACGCTCGCCGACTCTATAACGCCCCCTAGAAATTTCATTTTTTTGACCCTCTGGGGATTTTTTTTCAAATATTGGAGTAGGTACACGAAATTCGGATGAGTGATAGATCTCTATGAGACGAGCATAAAAGCCGTTCTAAGCACATATCTGGGACCGACAGGAAGTCGGCCATGAGGGGCCGAAGTTTCGCCACTAATTTGACTTTTCATTTATAAATTCGAACTAGTCCCTGGTTTTTCATCACACAGAGTTCTACCACGTCATTTCCCGCTCTGGACGGATTGAAGTTATATAAATCATCGAAAAAAAGTTAGACAATCTTCACCGTTTTCGTCCCTCGCCATGGCGAATAAGGCCTTCGTTTTGGCCATTTTCGCTGAGCCCTGAGGGCCACAGGCTCAGACCTACAGAGCTGAGACTCACATCAGTAATATTAGGTTATGGCCTGAACGCAATGACACTAAAATCATTCGCCCAATTTGAGCTCTTTAGCGCCACCTGTCGGAAAGTAATAGGGCACTAGTGCTCGGATCAGCCCGAAAATCGCTGAGTGTATTCTCTGGACCGACACGAGCAAAACATTACATTACGCAAAAGTTGTAAGTCCTACACCTGACCACTGGGGGCGCTGGAAAGTGAATAAATGAGCTTTTTAGGGCAAAATGTTTGTCCGATGAGGCTAAAAATGAATTCAGAAATACAACGTATGACCCTGAACACAACGATATGCAACACACAACTGTGAGTGCAACAGCGCCACCTACAGGCAGTTCAATGTGTTGCATTTTTGGCTTCGTACTAGTCCCTGGATTTTCATCGCACAGACTTCTACCATGTCATTTCTATATCTGGACGGATTGAAGTTATGTAATCATCGCATAAAAGTTAGAATTTTGTTATCGTTTTCATGCAAGGTAGTGGGGAATTTCTCCATGTTTGATGCTCTCCTGACCACAGGCTCAGACCTACAGAGCTGAAACTCACATCACTAACAGTTGGTAATGGCCTGAGAGTAATGGTGTGAAAACACACACCTAATATGACTCTACAGCGCCACCTATGGAAGGCTTCTGACCTAAACTTTTCCAATCTTCACCAAAGTTGCAAAATCAAATCTTTACATCTGCACGAGCAAAATACTACTCTACGTAGAGGGTGCATGTCCCGGAGGTGACCACTAGGGACGCACTTTATCATATAAATGAGCTTTTATATACGTAATCCTGGTCAGATCGGGCTGCCAATTCGTCGGCGTGACGCTTGTGGGACCGGCGCCCAGGAGGCGGTCGCAAGAGGGGCGAGGCCTTTCATCGCCGCTTGCGGCTTTAATTTTATTTATTTTTTGTTAGTTGAGGCATTACTTGAGGCACACATACAGGACAGTAGCAAGAGCACACACGATATACAATATAAGTAGCTGCTGTGTTTCTTAGCTAGCTGTAAATGCTTCAATCAATCTGTGTAAAGGTATACACATATAGGGCAGGATAAAAAGTAGATAATGATAATCTGAAATTGCAGAATTCTGCATTCTGAAAACCGTTGCAGGCAACCTTAATTGGAAAACTTGTTTTCACATTGTGTTATTATATCCGATGCACAATTGCATTAACTGTAATTATCATATTTCCTTAGATCAACGCTCTACAAGGCTTACAGGGGTGAACTGCCAGTACCGTCAACACTTGATCCTTCAGCACACTATGCTGCTTTTGACCCAGATGTGCTGCCATTGATCTGCCAGATGAACATCTCTGCTGACAAGCCACTGGTAGATTCAGCTTTTGGAAAAGTGCAAGCTGGCAGCGTGCTGTCCTACCACCACCCTCCGCCTTCAGCCCAGGGTGTTTGCATACATAAGGATGCACCACCCTTTCCCAAACTGCCACTTGATGACTACCATCTACCACCAACCGAGTGTCATTTTGTGGCCACCTCTCAGCAGCAGCTTCACCTGCACTCCCTGCACGTGACCTTGGCCCAGTGTCACCAAATTGAAGCTTCAACCAGAGGTCAAAGTGCAGCAGCTGACTGGCATAGTCTCAGACGAGAAAGGGTGACCTCCTCTCATTTCAGGTAAGTCTGCCATGTTAGAGGATCTACGTCTGCAGAGAACCTGGCTGAGAGGATCCTTAGGGGCACAAGACCTACTGCCATCATGAGAAGAGGGCTCGACATGGAAGCGGGAGCTTTAAAGGAGTACGCAGCCATGAAGAACGTGAACCTATCACAATGTGGACTGGTCATTCATCCTGATGCGCCCTGGCTCGGAGCGTCACCTGATGGGCTGGTGTATGATCCCCTGGAGAGACCCACATGGGGCTTGGTCGAATTGAAATGCCCGAATGTGCAGAGCTACATTGACTGCAAGTACCTCTCAGTGCAGCATGGCCAACATAAGCTTAAGGAGAGCCATGCGTACTACTGGCAGATACAGGGACAGCTGCTCATCACTGGCATGACCTGGTGTGATTTTGTCATCAGTGCAAATGACAACATGTTTGTGCTGCGCATTTACAGGGATGACACAGTGATA